ACACGCACCCTCCATTCGGGTGCTCCCCCTCCCACCAGAGCTTCCATGCCCCTCGTTATACTCACCTCGGCCTCTCCCTCTGCCAAAGCCTCTCCCACGGCCTCTGCCTCTCCCACCGCCTCTTCCTCTGCTGCCTCCTGCAGCTCCATACCCCTCAGCAGTTTTGTTGGCAGCACCACCTCCGGTGTGGCGCCTGCGGAAGTCCTCCTGTAGGATCTGCTGCCGTAGCCACTCAGGCGTCCACTTGTCCTGCTGAACGTTGAGGGTGGGGATGAGGTTATCCCACGAGTTGTCGAACACCGAGATGATATTGGTGCATTGCTGCATCTGCGACGCCTCGCTGCCCGCCGCTGCCATCCTCGCATATGTGTCCTTGATCTTGTCAAGGACCGGCTTCACATCATCTCCCGATCGCATGGAGATGGCCGCCAGCTCCTTCTCGAGCACGATCATCATGGGCAGCGTGTTGGGCTGAATCACGTCGCGCAGTAGCTTCCACGCCTTTGGACCGGAGTCGTCCAACTCAACCAAGTCCTTGATGTGCTGGAACATGTCGTTGTTGACCGATTGGAGGATGAGGTCGTTCAGCACCGCGCTCTTCTCAATCCATCGATCGCGGGCATCGCCTTCCTCCGGCATCTTCTCTTCTCCCATTGCAAGTTTCAGCAGCTTGTAGCGCTTAAACGCGCTCCGCATCTACCCGCTCCATTCCTCATAGTTGGAGCCATCCAATGCCTCGATCTTTGATGGTGGCGGCTCATTCCTCTTTTCAGCTGCATCTCCACTCCCTTGACTCATTTCCCTCTGCTCCCAATCACAGGTTCCAGCTCTCCCTTTGCTGTCCACACCGATGTCCCACTCAATTTCCACAAGTGTCGGCGCCAACGAAATTTCGGCAGAGTTTCGCTTTAGCAGAAGTCACATCCAACCTCCAGAACTCCACTTAGGCACGCCCACAGGCCATGGTGGGTCTAGGAGGGTCTTCACACTTTAGTAGACTCCCCACTCCCCACAAGGTCCTTAATTGCTCTGATACCACTTGTTAGAGACTAAGGACGGAGTCTACGAAGATTAGGTGCCTAAATTTCTCAAAATCGTTGGCTTAGAATTCTGGACAGAAAAGTCGCGCTCACAAGAAACACCGTCGACAAAAAACGCACTGTTAAAACTTCACCAATTTTGAATATGTTGTAGCTCTAGAGCGTAGCTACAATTCCCAAGTTGAATCGTATCAAGAGGTGAAGTATATCGCGACTTATCAATTTCGGCGCACAGGGGGGTATGTTGCCAAAGAATCTTAACTCAATCACAAGAGTCTCACAAGTTTACACAAGAGAGTTAGAGTAGCACTAAACTAGGTGGGAGGGATTAGGAGGACGAGAGGGAAGGTCCCCAAGGAGTCCCCAACCAAGGAAACCCCATAAGCACATCAAATCCCTTCCCTATAGGAACCCCACTTTGACCTTTGTCCATTTCCCAATCTCCACAATCCACCTCACCCAAGTTGGCCACACTTGCCAACCCAATTTGGTTTCTCCCAACCACTTGGCAGCATCTACAGTGATGGGGACGAATTTCCCAACCCCCAAAAGTCTGTACCCCATATTGAGTCACTTCACAACTTCCCAAAGTCGTCGCATCCCAATCAAAACTTCGAACGATTATAACTTCCTCGTTCTTGCTCCGATCGCAATGATTCTTGGTTCGTTTGAAAGATCTTGAGCAGAGGAGTCACTTCTGATATCTGCTCAAGCCAAATAACATTCACACATACTCAGGAAATCCAAACCACACCAAACATAAATTCTTGCACACGCTCACACCACGCATGCAACGCACGAACATGTGATAGGAGGCAGACAGACGTGAATGCAAATGATAGCATCACATAACATTTCCTTGGTTGGGGACTCCGGAATGCCAAAGTAATGGGAGCTAAAGGGGAGCTCGTGGGGCTGGGGAATGTTCCGTAGGTTGAAGGTTTGTCTGCTAGCCTTCTTTCTGTGCGCCGGCTGCAGAAGAGCAAGGCCAAAGTGACCTTCGGCCCAACCAGCTGCCGTGCAAAGCTTGGGAAGTTGCTGCTGTGGGATTTGGAGGAGAAGAGCAGCTGCAGCTCACCACCCTGTGCAGCTCACCACCCTGTGCAGCTCACCACCCTGTGCAGCTCACTCACCGCCAGTGGCAATGCTGACGGCATCCTCGGGAGCTCCGAAGAAGCGCTCCATGGCATGCACGAAGGCACTCTCTGCCTCGAATGACTCGCCCAGAGATGCCCTGTTGTGTGAGGGAGAGAGGAGTGAGGAGGCACGCAGTGAGTGTTAAGTCCAGCATACAGTGGGAGGAAGAAGCGCTCCAGGCGTGGACGAAGGCACTCTCTGCTTCAAATGACTCGCCCAGGGACGCACTGCGGTATTGATGATAGGATTCGAGAGGATACATTGAGGGGTGCTTTGAGGGGTGCTTTGAGGGGTGCTTTGAGGGGTGCATGAAGAGCAACGCTTTGGGAAGAAGCACTCCATGGCGTGCATGGCGGCACTCTCCGCCTCGAACGACTCGCCCAGGGACGCGCTGCGGTGAGGTTGAGAGGATTGGCTTGGAGGGGAGGTTTGAGGAGCAGTGAGGGTTGCATGGGAGCGACGATTTGAGGGGGGACATGTGAAGCAGCGCAATGGGCAGGCATGGCCAAGAGCAGGAGCGTTGGGTGAGTCGCATGGGCAAGGGCAGAGGCGATTGAGCGGCAGGCAGGGCGAGGCGACTCACGCGAAGTCGTTGCAGCTGCGAGCGAGCTGGCAGCAACGGTCTCTCAGCAGCTCGAGACTCTCCTCCAACGCCGCCAGCTGCGAGGGTGATGTGGGGAGGAGGATGTGGGGTCGATGCGGGGAGAGGGATGCGGGGATTTAAGACGTCTCCAAGCTGGCAGCAGCGGTTCCTCAGCAGCTCGAGACTCTCCTCCAACGCCGCCAGCTGCGCGGAGGAGAGTCGCGCACGGATAAGAGGATACGCGTGCGGGGAGAACGATGCGGGCAGTAGGATTATACAGGGGTAGGGTTATGCTAGGGCGCGTAGGATGTCATGCAGGAAGCGAGTGGTATCAAATGAGCGGGTGCGAGGGATTCGACACGATGGGCGAAAGCATGCGAAATGGTTACGAGGCGACGGGGGCATTCAAGCACGGAAAAGCAGCACGTCGTAGCGACAGAAAGAGAGAGAGCGATCGCGTTCACGTTTCTAAGTCTAACGATGGCAATGCAACGAGTTTTCGTCCAGCTCCCGCTCTAGATCCGCTTCGATACTAACAACCCACGCGACGCGTTTTTTCCGATCTAAAGGGGACGCTTGCGATCAATATGCATAGAACGAACGGGACGATCATGCGTCTCTCTTTTGTTACGACGGATGGAAGGTAAAACAGGTGAATCTACGACGTGCTCCTTCAATCTAGCACTGGCGACGACATTCTGACGGCGTAAACGAGCAGAGTGAAGCGGTGTACCTGCTTGCGCAGCATTGGCGTGTCGTCTAGCCGCGCGAACAACATCCTGCTTCTCCGGTGTCGACGGGAATGGGTGTTTCGAGATTGCGATTGCGAGAAAACCAGCACGAGGAGAGCGACGACAGCTGACGATGCTTCCACACGACGATACTGAGAAGGCGATACGGTTTTGCCCTTTCCCAACGTCACGGTATCCTCCTATGCTCCTGTTAGGCGGAACGCCGACTGTTGGTGCTTGTGCTACTTGGTACTCAGGGCCAGTGTGATAATCTCGATGCTGCTGCTGGCTAGCCTCGCCAACTGCTTTTTCCGGAGACAAGGGAGTTGCGATTTGGGCTGACACGCCTAGCGTTGGAATGATCGCGTGGGATGAGGAGACTGGAGTTTCGTGAGTTGAGTTCCGGTGGGGAGAAAATAGGGACAGGAATCTTGTCTCAAGAGGTGGGAGGAAGGCAATGCCAAACAACAGCGAGCTCAACAGTGTACTAACAGGAAGTGTACGCTGAATTGGCAACAAATGATAAAGTGTTAGTCCCCTAACCCACCCTAACTGGTCACAGCACGTTTTGTGCCTTTCTGAACTAGACCACGAAAAAGCAGGGTATGAATTGCAGAAGGCCGAGCCATCAAGATCCCCCTTTTCCACCGGACTCACCAGATTGCTGCGGCGGCTGTCTGTCGAATCGCTCTATTCTGATGAAACAGAAAAACCTCGTTATCATTGTCTTGTCATAATCACACGGTTAGGCAGTGTGAACATTGGATATTCAGAATAATCTAAAACAACTGGAATTGCTGAGCATAAAATGGTTACAAACAACATTGAAAAATTAAGACGATTCATTCTGATTCATATAACCGAGAGCAACACTACCAACCCAACTCCAGGCGAGGAAAATTACTCAGCACGAATAAACGCGAGAAGAAACCTTCCGCTCTAATCAGCCTCAAACGAGGCAACTTCTTGAGCAGTGCCACACCCTCCTCTGTAACTCGAGCATCCGATAAATCCAACTCTTCCAAAGCAGGAAGATTCTGAATGTGCACCAGGCCAGCATCAGTGATCTTGCTTGGAAGAACGAGCACTTTCAGTCGGCTTAAAGGTGCCAGAAACTCCAGTCCAGCATCAGTCACACTGGTCCCCTTGAGATTGAGATCTTTGAGGCTGCTTGCTGCCCCAATACCTTCCAAGCAGCTGTCTGTTACAGCAGGGCTGGTCAGTTTTAGGCTCTCAAGCTGCTTCGTGTAGAGGTGCTTGATTCCTTCTGGGCTGAATGCTGTTAAATCATCAAGAGTGATGTGCTTCACGTGAGTCATCGTGGACACATGGTAGAGAATGGCTTCTGAGAGGTGAGGGAGGAACTTCAGATTCAATCTCGTCGTCGCATGGATTCTCTGCGAATAACAAAAAAGGGGAGGAAAGGAACGGTTTGAAGGAGCAACAGTAGAAAACAAAAGATCTAGCAGCTGATGCCACCATTCTTGCACTCACCTGCCAAACAGTTTTTTAAGCCCCTTGCCGCATCCTGAGCTCCTCTTCCACGTCAAACAGCATATGCTTTGGTGCTGGGGATGGCACAGCTGCTACAGCATCAGAACTGTTTTTATTTCCCAGCTCCTTCTCCTCCTCCTCCAAAGCCAACTTCTCCCTCTCCATGTTCTGCAAGCACTCTTTCTGTTCAGCCAAATCCGTTTTTGTTTTTAACAACGTCCCTTTCAATGAGTCTAACTCCCCTTTAATAGTCACCATCTCAACCCTTGCTGTGAGCAACTCCCCCCTTACAGTCACCAGCTCTTCCCACACTGCAAGCAGGTCCCCTCTCACTTGTACAAACTCTGCTGCCCTGCTCCTCTCAGCCTCCCCCAATCCCCTCTGTGTCTCCTCCAGCTGCACTGAAGGCTGGAAAGGTGGGGAGAAAAGGGGTTGGAGAAAGCGGTGGAAGTGGGGAAGGGGGTGGTGAGGAATAAAGGTGAGATTCACGGGTCCCTGCTCATGCCGCCCTCGTGCTGCTCGTGCTACATTTCCTTCCTGGCTCCCTATCAGCTCGAGCCTCGAACCCCCCACCTCAGCACCCCGCTCTGCTTGGGTGGGGGGTTCCTGCCTGCCAAATTTCCTGAGGGACGGGGTGGGGAGGGACGAGAAGCGAAGCAACAGGAATGGAAGAAAAGGACGGGGATGGAGGGCAAGAGAACAGATAGGAATTAAAAGAGGTGGAAAGGAAGGAAAGGGAAGAAAGAGGGGGGAAAGGAAGGGAAGGGAAGGGAAGGGAAGAGGAGGGAAGGGAAGGGAAGGGAAGAGGAGGGAAGGGAAGGGAAGGGAAGAGGAGGGAAGGGAAGGGAAGGGAAGAGGAGGGAAGGGAAGGGAAGGAAAGGGATGAGGAGGGAAGGGAAGGGAAGGGAAGGGATGAGGAGGGAAGGGAAGGGAAGGAAAGGGATGAGGAGGGAAGGGAAGGGAAGGGAAGGGAAGGGAAAGGAAGGGAGGAGAGAAGGAACGGAAACCCATCTGTTAGTATACCACTCGCCTCTTTCTGGAAGATCTCACCTGTTCAAAAGTGACATGTGCAACAGGAGCAGAAACCGACGAGTCCATTTCCTCCGCCAGCTGCTTCCTCGCCACGCCGCTGGGTGATCCTGTCCCGGCGACTCCTGCTAGCGTCGACGACGACGCAACTGAAGTCGCTGCTGCGAACGGGAGGAGCGGCGGAATCCCCGCCATATGACGCAGCGCTGCTGCTCCGCTACAAGCATGAGACGCGGCGCAGGGAGTGGTGTTTATAGCGGAGGGAGTGGAGCTGGGTGGTGAGAGGCGAGAGGCGAGGGAAATGGGGCGGGATCTCGCTGATCCGCGAAGAACGCAGCCCGTGAGAACACGCGCGAGCACCATGCCGAATAGCTAGTCTGTGGCGAAGCTTTGCAGGTGAAATTACGAGTGCTTTGACCTGCAGGAGGGTGTTATGAACGCGTGGCTCCGAATCGGCAAGGTTGCGCTTAGGGATGTGACATATTGCAAATCAGCAAGGTTGCGCAAAGGGGCGTGAGATATCGCTAATCGGCAACCTTGCGCTAAGGGGCGTGACATATCGCTAATCGGCAAGGTTGCGCTTCCCACTCGTGGGGTCGAACCGATACGGTAGCTCTAGACTGGCACGCGAATCTGTTTGGCGAGTGGTAACCAATCACTCGCGACTCCCAACCCGAAAGAGCCGCGTCACCCGCTGACGCACCTAGGAGGTTCATATTCGACTGCCAGCATCAGCTGGCAGTCGACCCACGCAAGCGAACCGCCCGCGCAGTATCTTAGGCTAAATCTGGGAGGGTTATCTGCTGTACTCAATAGTGGATCATGCCTTCCGCTGACGCAGTAAAGATCACGGTTGTATACGATCCTTTCTACCTTACGAAAAAAGAAAAAGAATATAAAAGAGGCTACAAAATTGTTCAAAGCAAATATAACTATATATGTATAATCATATAAAGGGGAAGGGGAGGGCGGGGTACGATCAACTCAACTTGCACGGGAGACGTTTGAAGATTCTGAATCCTGATAGCAAAGGGGTTGTGAGAAGTAAAATGCTAACATGAGCAAATGAGGGGCATGTAAACATTCGAAACTGCAGAACATGACAACATGCATGATAGCACTGCAACAAGTGCCAAGTGGGAACCATGCCAAGTGCGGGACTGAGAGAGGAAGAGAGAGGGGAAGTGCATGGGTTCGATCAAAGGATTGAGTAACCCTCACAATATCCTTTTCTCATCCACCTTTGCTCCTCTCCACTCCCGTGTCTTCTGCCCTTCCATACACTATCTCTGCTTTCCGAAAGTCCCCTCCTCGCGATTCCTCCACACGCTTCCATGTCAAACCAGCCGGAGCGTCCCTCTGCCTGTCAAACCGCACTCTTCTCTCATCTCGTCAGCCACTTCAGCCTTGATGCCCTTCTTGAGCGACAGGAAGCGCTCCCGCATCTAGAGGGAGTATGGAAATGGGGCGCAGAGACGAGGTGTAGAGGGCGTGAGAGGTGATGGCTTGAGAGGGCGGCGGGGCCAATACCACTTGGGCTTGAATCCCCTTCTTGAGAGGCACGAAACGCCCCCGCATCTGTGAGGAGCATAGATAGGGGGGGCAGAGGGGTAGGCAGAGAGTGTGTGAAAGGGTGGGCTAAAATTGAAGCAAAGGGGGCTTGCTGTAGACGTTCTAGAGACATAGCTTGCGCTTGGTGCTCCTCTTTGTTTCAACCTCACGAACACAGCTCAAGTTAACAGCAAGCATCACTCTTGGAAAAAGGGGGGGTGGCGAGGGAGTTGGAGTAGGAGGGAGAGCCAGGCTAGGTAAGGCTCGGAGGAATGAGGGGGAGAGCCAGGCTAGAAGGAAGAGAGGTGGGGGTAGAGGGGGAGAGCCAGGCTAGGTAAGGCTCGGAGGAATGACGAATAGCATGCGAGGGCTGGGAGGAATGAAGAATGGCATGCAGGGGTTGGGAGGAATGAATAATAGCATTCGGGGGCTGGGAGCATGAGTGCGTGGGCGCATGGACGCGTGGGCGCATGGACGCGTGGGCGCATGGACGCGTGGGCGCATGGACGCGTGGGTGCATGGACGCGTGGGCGCATGGACGCGTGGGCGCATGGATGCGTGGGCGCATGGACGCGTGGGCGCATGGACGCGTGGGCGCATGGACGCGTGGGCGCATGGACGCGTGGGCGCATGGACGCGTGGGTGCATGAACGCGTGGGCGCATGGATGCGTGGGCGCATGGACGCGTGGGCGCATGGATGCGTGGGCGGGTACATGGATGCGCATGTGCATGGGCTCATGCAGCAGCGATAGGGTGGCTGGGAACAAGGGCGGAGGGGGGCAGTCCTCGTCCTCACCTGGTCATTGCCCAGCCCTGTCGTAGCGCCATCGCACCTCGTGAGGACAGACATGGAACCACGGGTGTGGATAGATGGCATGGGTGGCATGGTTGAGTGAATGGCATGGGTGAATGCATGGCGTGGGTGCATACATGGCATGGTTGAATATAAGGCATGGGTGTATGGATGGCATGGGTGGATGGCATGGGTGGATGGCATCGATGAATGTATGGCACAGGGCGATAGGAGTAATGGCATGGGTGGATGGCACGGGATCACTTGTTGTATAATTCGCTTGTTATTTGTGCTCGAGATGCACATACACCATGCATGCACCTCCCACGCAATGCATGCATGTGGTGACATCGGAAGATGAGAACTCCAGGTCTTGAAGCAGCCGCGGGCCTAAGTCAGCGACGATTCTGGTGAAGTCAACGAGAGTCAACGTGAGTCAACACGAGCCAACACGAGTCAATGCGAGTCAATGTGAGTCAACACGAGCAACACGAGTCAACGTAAGTCAACCGCACCTTGAGGTTGTTGAGATCGTTCTCCACGAAGTTGGTGATTCTGTCATGCAACACATGCTCCATCTGCACACAAGGGATTGGGGGAATGGGGGGGATGGTGGGGAGGGGGAAAAAGAGGGATGGGGCGCCTCACCAAACCAAGCTCGTAATTCGATCATGCAGCACGTGCTCCATCTGCCCACGTGCACGCCACACAGAAATAGAGGGGGTGGGGAGTGGTATGTGATGGAAGAGGAACATCAACCCGTGGTAAAAGAACGAGTTTGTGAGTGAAGAGCGTGAACCATAAACCTCTCCAACTTCCCCCCCTTGGACACTAAACCCACGACATGATATTTCATGCCTTGGACGCGATTACACTTGCAACGGATGCGCAGTGCACTGCACTGTGGTGTGGGAGGGATGCGTGATGTGCTTGCCTGGGTGAGGCCTTGAGGTTTTGAGCGTATCCTTGAATATGGTGAGGTCTTGCTGCATCATCACCAACTGCCCCAGCACAAGGCCTGAACGGGACTATGCGCACCATGCCGTGCATGTGGGACATCTATGGCACTCGCCTTGGGATTTGAACGTTTTCTTGAATACACTGAGGTCGTGCAGTGCAGTGTGATTGCATTGCCCCGACACAGGGCATGTACGAGACTACGTGCACTACACGCTGCACTCTGGTGTGGTGTGGGACACACGTGGTGTTTGCCTGCTCGCGGTGCTTGCCTGGGATTTAAGAGTCTCCTTGAATATCGTGAGGTCGCGCAGCGTCATCACCAACTGCCCCAGCACCGGGCACAAGCGTGAAACGAAGGTGTTGGGCAGAGGTGCATGGCAGAAAGCAAGGGGCGGGGGGACGGACGGGGTAGGGATGGGGGGAAGGGGGAGGGAAGGAGTGGAAAGGGGAGAAGCATGGGAGTGGATAAGGTGATAGTGAGATCCGTACAGTGTCATCACAGATAGACAGACCCGGCATAGGGCCTGGCAACGTCTTGCAACGTCTTGCATCAGCATAACCACACCACGCTCGCCAGCGGACCATACGGGCACCCTGCGCAGCTCACCGCCCATTGGTTGGGGTTGGGGCTCACCGCCTGTGGCGATGGTGACTGTATCCTCCGAGGCACCGAAGAAGCGCTCCATGGCATGCACGATGGCGCTCTCCGCCTCGAACGACTCGCCCAGGGAAGCCCTGTTGTGTGAGGGAGAGAGAAGTGAGGCGGCACGCAGTGAGTGTGAAGTCCAGCATACAGTGGGAGGAGGGAAAGCCGCTCCATGGCGTGCACGAAGGCACTCTCTGCCTCGAACGACTCGCCCAGGGATGCCCTGTAGTGAGGTTGGGGGCGAGAGAGAGGATTGGATATGAAGGGGTGCGTGAGGGGAGTCACGCGTTGCGGGTCAAGAGAACCAACCATGCATGGTGGGAGGAAGAGCCGCTCCATGCGTGCGCGAATGCGGCTCTCCGCCTCAAACGACTCGCCCAGGGACGGTGGGGACGAGATAGGGGGATGGAGGGTGTGGGGAGCCATGAGGGGTGCATTGGGAGCGACGCATTGAGGATAAGCATGCGGTGTGATATGGGCCCCCTGTATGCACTGAACACACGCTATTGTGACCTACTTACAGACCTGGCTAGGAATGCACTGGCGCGGATAGGGGGATGGGAAGTAGCGGATATGTGACGCAACCAAATTGGGCGCAAGCAAGTGATGAAGGAATAGACAGGATGAAGCAGCAGGGCGAGGGGACTCACGCGAAGTCGTTGCAACTGCGAGCCAGCTGGCAGCAGCGGTCCCTCAGCAGCTCGAGACTCTCCTCCAACGACGCCAGGTGCGGGGAGAGGAGAGAGGGATGCGGAGAGGGTTATGGACGGGGCGAGGGGGCAGGGAGCGAGGGGCATCAGAGATGCGAGCGAGCGAGCTGGCAGCAGCGGTCCCTCAGCAGCTCGAGACTCTCCTCCAACGACGCCAGGTGCGGGAAGAGGAGAGAGGGATGCGGAGAGGGTTATGGACGGGGCGAGGGGGCAGGGAGCGAGGGGCATCAGAGATGCGAGCGAGCGAGCTGGCAGCAGCGGTCCCTCAGCAGCTCGAGACTCTCCTCCAACGACGCCAGGTGCGGGGAGGGTCGCACAGGCACGCGGGGAGGGGATGCCGCGGTGAGGGTTACGAGGAAAGAGGGATGCGGGCAGGGCGATGCGGGGAGGACGATGCGGGCAGGGCGATGCGGGGAGGACGATGCGGGGAGGGTGATGTGGGGAGGACGACGCGGGGAGGGTGATGCGGGGAGGACGACGCGGGGAGGGTGATGCGGGGAGGACGATGCGGGGAGGGTGATGCGGGGAGGACGATGCGGGGAGGGTGATGTGGGGAGGACGATGCGGGGAGGGTGATGTGGGGAGCACGATGCGGGGAGGGTGATGTGGGGAGCACGGTGCGGGGAGGGTGATGAGGGGACGACGATGCGGGGAGGGTGATGTGGGGAGGACGATGCGGGGAGGGTGATGTGGGGAGCACGATGCGGGGAGGGTGATGTGGGGAGCACGATGCGGGGAGGGTGATGTGGGCAGGACGATGCGGGGAGGGTGATGTGGGGAGGACGATGCGGGGACGGTGATGCGGGGAAGGTGATGCGGGGAGGGTGATATAAGGTTTGAGTCATCTCATCTCAAAGCTGGCGCAGCGGTCCTCAGCAGCTCCGAAGTCTCTTCCAGCGACGCCAGCTGCAAGAGAGTTTTGGTTGCGAGGAGGGCCATTGGACCACGGGGAACCAGCACCTCTCAACGCTCGACGCAATGAGAATTAGCGACAGAAAGATCGGTTTAACATTTCTAACTTTAACGATGGCAATGCGACGAAGTTTCGTCCAGCTCTCGCGCGAGAACCGCTCCGATACTACCGATCCAAGCCACGTGAATTATCCGACCTAAAGAGGACGTACGCGACCGACGGAACGAAACGGAACGGATTATGCGGCGTCTCTCGCTTGTAACGAGCTGACTTTTGAGTTGACTCAAAACGCATGTGTATCTTGCCTGTAACGACGTATAGGGGTAAAAAGGGTGCATTTACTGCGTATTCCTTCGATCTATCACGAGCGACGAGCAGAGCGGAGTGGTGTACCTGCTTGCGCAGCATTGGCGTATCGTCTAGCCGCGCGAACAGCATCTTGGTAGTCTGTTGTCAATGGGAATGGGTGGTCGAGATTGCGATTGCGAGAAAACTAGAACGATAGAGCGGCACAACGACAGCTGATGATGCTACGACACGACGATACGGGGAGAGCACAGCACAAGGTCATATAATATCCTCTTTGATGGTCTGGTCGCAAAGCTAGGCCGAACACTGATTGCTGGTGCTCGGGCCACTTCGTTTTCTGGCGAGTATGATCTCAAGGCTGCTGCTTCTGCCAGCTTGCACCAACTGCTTTTTCGGAGACTATGGAGTTTCGTTTAGGGCGTGTAAAATTGTAACGACCAAACGCTATGGTCGATCATTCGGGCGTTTCTGGCGAGTGCGAAATATGTAACACTCAAACGAACCCCGCCACAATCTTCGTCAGCGTTTCGGGCACCCACCCCGAACCACCCCCTTAATAAAAAAGGAAAAAATCTTTTCCCTTTACTGCATTCGAAAGGGGTGTGGAATAAGAGGGATCTGAAGCCTAGACTAGAGTGTTTATTAAAGCAGTGGGTTTAGGTAAACGGAAAAAATATCTCCCCACTGAGCATTAGTTTCGGCATGTCCCAAAATGTGGTGCGTAAATTTCTGTTCGGAAATTACCAATGAAAATCGGTCAGATCGGGGTGACTACTCCAATCGGCGTAACCCTAATTCCTCGCAATCGCCAGTAACGCCCAAATGATCGACCGTAGCGTTTGGTCGTTTAAATTTTACACACCCTAGGGCTGACACGACACGCCTAGCATTGGGGTGATCGCGTGAGATGAGGAGAGGTATGCAATGAATCACCAGTTGTGCCAAAGAGAAGCAGACTCACCAGTTCACTAAGTGTGCGCTGAATTGGCAAATTACGTTTCGTACCTTTCTGGACTAGACCACGAAAAAATCAGGGGAAGAACCGCAGAAGACCGAGCCATCAAGGTCCCTCTTTTCCATCTGACTCGCCGGATTGCTGCGGTGGCCTGTCGAATCGCACTATTCTGTCAGAACAAAAAAACCTTGTTATTATTGTCCTCCTTTGCCCTTACCACTCCCTGCCTTGCCCTTACCAATCCCTGCCTTGCCCTTACCACTCCCTGCCTTGCTCTTACCACTCCCTGCCTTGCTCTTACCACTCCCTGCCTTGCTCTTACCAATCCCTGCCTTGCCCTTACCAATCCCTGCCTTGCCCTTACCACTCCCTGCCTTGCTCTTACCACTCCCTGCCTTGCCCTCACCAATCCCTGCCTTGCCCTCACCAATCCCTGCCTTGCCCTTACCACTCCCTGCCTTGCCCTTACCAATCTCTGCCTTGCCCTTACCACTCCCTGCCTTGCTCTTACCACTCCCTGCCTTGCTCTTACCACTCCCTGCCTTGCTCTTACCAATCCCTGCCTTGCCCTTACCAATCCCTGCCTTGCCCTTACCACTCCCTGCCTTGCTCTTACCACTCCCTGCCTTGCCCTCACCACTCCCTGCCTTGCCCTTTCCACTCCCTGCCTTGCCCTCACCACTCCCTGCCTTGCCCTTACCACTCCCTGCCTTGCCCTTACCAATCCCTGCCTTGCCCTTACCACTCCCTGGCTTGCCCTTACCACTCCCTGCCTTGGGCGCATAGATTCACTTGCCTCTCTGCTTCCGAGTCACGGTTCGCTCTCTTGGGGTCTTTTTTCCTGGCTCACTCGGCACAGGCGAGGATGGGAGCAGCCTTTTCCAGGGCAGCGGTCCTGGAGGCGGGGGTGACGCTACTGGTGGTGGCGTGCGGGTATCGCAACACACTGTCGCTCAGGCGTTTGCGAGTGATGAATCAGGCGATAGACCTCACAGGCTCACTCACCTTGGCACTGGCCAGAATAGGAGCAGCCGCCTCCAAAGCAGCGGTCATGGAGGTGGGGGTGACGCTCTTGCTGGTGGCGTGGGGGTCTCGCACCACACTGTCGCTCAGCTGTGAGCCAATCCCTAGGGGAATTTCCCTCCCCTGATCCTATCTCACCTCACCTTGGCACAGGCGAGGATAGGAGCAGCTTGGGCCATAGCAGCAGCCATGGAGGCGGGGGTGACGCTCTTGGTGGTGGTGTGGGGGTCTCGCACCATGCTGCCGCTCAGCCGTGAGTCGAGTCAATCTCTAAGGCAATTTCCCTCGCCTGTTCCGATTTCACCTTGGCACAGGCGAGGATGGGAGCAGCTTGGGCCATGGCAGCAGCCATAGCAGGGGCAGTGACGCTCTTGGTGGTGGCGTGGGGGTCTCGCACCACACTGCCGCTCAGCTGCTCCCATGCGTGTTGAGCGACATGCACCACACAGTCGCTCAGCCGTGAGTCGACTTCTAAGGCGCTTCAACTGTCTTACCTTGGCACAGGCCAGAATGGGAGCAGCCGCATCCAAAGCAGCGGCCATGGAGGCGGAGGTGACACTGGTGGTGGTGGCGTGCGGGTCTCGCACCACACTGTCGCTCAGCCGCACGTGCACCCCCACCACCACCGTCCGCACCTCCCTCATCTCCTGCAGCAGCCGTGCTGTCAGCGGCCATACCTCCTTCCTTGGCCTGGAATGGGTGGGGGTGGATGAAATGGTGAATGGAAGTTGTGGGGAAAAGAAAGAGGGAGAGTGACGGAGGGAAGGGAGAGGAGAGGGGGAGGGAAGATGGCATTGCTCAGCCGCACGTGCACCCCCACCACCACCGTCCGCACCTCCCGCATCTCCTGCAGCAACCGTGCTGTCAGTGGCCATACCTCCTTCCTTGGTCTGGAATGACGGGTGAGAGGTGGTTGATGGGTGGGGGGAAGGTAGGGGGAAGGAGGGGGAATGAGAGGTGGGAAGAGTGGGGGAAACCCGGAGAAAGGGGTGAATGATGTCATTACTCATCCGCACGTGCACCACCACCACCACGGTCCAGACCTCCCTCATTTCCTGCAGCAGCAGCGCCACCAGCGGCCATACCTCTTTCCGGGGTCTGCAGTGAGAGGTGAGGGACAAGTGAGGAGGTGGGGGAAAATGGGAGAGAGAGGGGAAGGGGAAAGGGGGAGGGATGTAAGTGCTCAGAGGCACAACAATCACCCCCACCACCATGGTCCACACCTCCCTCAACTCCTGCAGCAGCTGCGCTGTCAGCGGCCATACCTCCTTCGTGGGTCTGGAAGGGGTAAGGGTTGGATGAGGGGTGGTTTGCGAGTTGTGCGGAAAAGGAAGAGGGGGAGGGAAAGAGGAAAGGAAGAAGGGAATCAGAGTGCAACTAATTGCCTCGCATGTAACCACCAATTGCCTCGCATGTAACCACCAATTGCCTCGCATGTAACCACCAATTGCCTCGCATGTAACCACCAATTGCCTTGCATGTAACCACCAATTGCCTTGCATGTAACCACCAATTGCCTTGCACGTAACCACTACTTGTCTTGCATGTAACCACTAATTGCCTTGCATGTAACCACTAATTGCCTTGCATGTAACCACTACTTATATTGCATGTAACCACTACTTATCTTGCATGTAACCAACAATGAGGCAGACCTGACAAGGAAACGGTAAATGTGTCTCAGCTCATTCCATTGCAATGCATCTCAAATGCAACAGAGTACATACCTGACAGTAAATGGGCAATGCGGCGTACCTGACAAGGAATCGGAGAATGCAGCCGAATGCATACGGTGGGCGCAACCCCGTCGACCGGAACGCATCGGCCCACTCGCCCGTCCCCTTTGTAAGCATCTCCGTAACCATCCCGCGATTCCACAGCACCTTCACATGCCGAAACGCCTTAAACCTCTCCAACCACTGCAAACCCATCCGATTCCCATTCAAATCCAGAAACGGAATAACCCCCGGCGAAAACGACTCATTCAGATTCCGCGTGCGACGAGAAGGCTCCATCGGAAGATCAGGGGACGGGCGCCAGTCGATGAAGGCTGGTTCAAACGCGTACTGGATGCAGTCGTGGCGAATCACAAACGCCCGGCGGTCCAAGAGCGCGGCGACGAAAGAGGAGACGAGCCCGACTAGAAAGTCCCCGAAGCCCCCGCAGTGCCCGGCTTGGTCGAACGTGAGGAAGCGAATGGGAGAAGCTGGGACGGTCTGGTTTGACAAGCTTGGTTCAGGGACTTCTGCTGATGTAGCAGCTGCTGCTGCTGCTGCTGCTGATGTCACTGTTGCTGCTGCGGCTGGTGGTGGCAATGGTGGGGAATTTGCGAGCGAGAGCAATCGGCGGGAGGAGTGGGAGGCGGGGGAGGAAGCAGGGGTAGGGGGAGTGGGAGAGGGAGGGGGGGTGTAGGCAGCGGTACTGGCAGCGCGAATGGCGGAGTGCAGGCGGACGTAGTCGTCCCGCCATGCCGTGCTACAGAGCGTGTCCGAATACTCAAAGTCCACGTGGTGTGAGGGGGATGAATCTGTCCTCGCTATAGTCAGACGCGATTGGAGCACCTGGGAGGACAGAGGTAGGAGGGGGGGTTGGGTGAGGGAACTGAGGGCTGGATGGGGGGGACGAACTTGACTGGAGAGAGCCATGTGTGAGAAGAAAGAGAGGCATGGAGGGCTGGATGGGGAGGATTGGGGGGATGGAAGTGAGCAGGGAGCAATGGGGATCCGCACAAAAGCAAGGAAGAAGCAGACGACAACGCAGTAAGGGCTCAATGTGGGATCAGTGGGGAGGAGGAAGCAGAGGATAGCGCAGCCGGTCATGATAACAAAAAAGGCGGGAAGGACTTTAGGGCCGTAGAGCATCTTACAGTGGAAAGGGCCAGCATTAACGTTGCCGTCGCCAGTTCTACCAGCGATAGGATGCGACAACATGGCAGGTACTTAAGTAGTAAAAAAACTTTGCGCGCTGCGAAACTAATCGCGCGAGAAGCCGATCGCAATCACCTCCCGGTGCTGATGGTGCTACTAGAAACCAGTACTGCTAGTTCACTGTGCCAATTCGACTTGAGAGAGTGTAAGCCGCAAAGCGGCAAGTGAAAGGAGATGGCAAAACCAGACTGCGAGCAGAACTGGTGCAACGCCTCGCGTGCAAGGAAAAGCGCTTGACAACCCCGCCGGTTCGAAACCGGAGCACAGCTGCGAGCAGCCTGAGGACGAAGCGAGCTGCGAGAACACCTGCCACTGACGGACTCCGTGAAAGGAGAAAGAGGCATCATTGCGACAAACTCCCGTGCAAGGGGTATTCGTCGAAGAGCTCGCGGGAAGAGGATCTCACGCATCTGGCGAGGCGATGGATGGGGTAGGTAGGAGCGAGAGAAAAGTTGGCGCGCGGTGGTACAGTACAGGACGAAATGGATCGCTGTGACGATCATGGCGTGGAGCGGGTGACGCTCGCTCCGCCGCCAGGCGTGGAAATTTGGTCAACCCTGGATGGGAGATGCGAGATGCCAATGCGACGCGATGACATCGAGACAACACGATGGAAGTGGTAAACTGGATGGCAGGGCTCGGCGTGGGGAACCCTCACTGGGTTCGCCGTCCGTTTCGCTGGTTCGGCGCCGAAGGGGTGCACGCGCGTGGGGGAAGCCGACGGGGGTCGCATCGCTAGGCGACGTTGGAGGTACACACGGTGCCACGAACGCCGACGCTTGGAGGCCCATTCCGTTGGCGTTTATCTCAGCGGAATGGGGGTGCCATGGACACACTGATAGTGTCGAGGGGCAAGCGAAGTTTGTTCACTTTGCCACACAGGGCCACAAGGGTGATGCTTGTCAACGCACCTGCCGAGGTCTGAAGGAAGCAGAAGCCCCTATTCTGGGGTTTCTGTCAGGGTACACTCGATGCACAACTTATGGTGAAAGGCCTCGACAATGTTTCCCTTTCACTTGTCCAGCAGCTTAGCACAGACTGAAATATCTGCGAAAGTGTTTCGCATGGAAGCCTCGGTCATCTTTCTGCGACGGTTATGTGAATTGACGCCTGCCGTGCCGTGCAGTGCAGAGCCGAGCCAAAGTTGAGGTTGGCGGAGCGAGACCAATCAGAGCACATTGCCACGCCACACTCGAACAAAAAAATCGCCTTTCTACTTCCGCCGAGCAACTGACAGGCGTCACAGAAACGAAAGTGACCTCGCGCGAAGGCTCTCTGCACCCTTCGTTGACCTTCGTTCGTTGCTTCCGACGACACCGACAGCCTCGACGACGACTACCAGGCGACAGGTGTGGGCTCAAACGAGACAGCAGCACGAATCGCTGATTGGCAGTTAGGGTAACCTGCGGTTCGCCCAACCACGACGACTGACTTGGCATTGTCGAACAGAGAAAATGGAAGGCGCGAGCGTGAGCCAGAAGCAACCAGAAGGATCGCGACTTGGAGAGTCTTGGAGCGGCTCGTTCTGGAAAGGCCGAGAGGAATCTCACCGTCACGCTCACGCATACAAATATGCAGCAGCCATGCCAGGTACTCAACACAGAATCCGGAAACTCAAGTCCTTCTGCATCTGGTTGTTTCTTAGCACTCGCTCTGCTCGAACTCCCGGTACGAACTTGTCTGCGGCATTTACTTAACTCATTGATATTTTCAAGTATTGGTCGCCGTAGTCGCTACTAGCACCCACTCTTCCTTCAAGCTTCTAACTGCTCTATCAGATTCGATCAGCCATAATGGCCCACTTCTCTCTGCAAGCACCAACAGATCGCAGCAGCGTGCGAGACACTCGCAAGTCGCGCAATGGGCGTCGCGGGATCGCCGTTCTACATGGCTCCTGAGGTCCTCCAAGGCGAATACGCGTTAGAAGCCGACGTGTGGTCTCTGGGCGTGATTCTATACATCTTGCTCTGCGGGGCGCCGCCTTTCTGAGGCCCGACGGATAAGGACGTGTTTGTGGAGGTGCTGAAAGGCGTGGTGGATTTTAGTGGCGAGGAGTGGGCGGGAGTGTCGGAGGAGGCAAAGCGGCTTGTGCTGTGCCTGCTGCAGAGGAACCCCCAGCAGCGTCCCACTGCCGCGCAAATCCTCTTTCATCCTTGGATCCTCCGGCATTGCCACACCAGCGTGGCAGGTTTGAGGACAGGCTCGGAAGCAGGTCTGGGTTTCAGTGTAGGCTCGGATCTGAGGGCAGGCGTGGAGGCAGCTTCTGCCATGGTGGTGTGAGATTAGCTGTGGCATAAGTTATAATTGTACGCTTCAGGTGTGCAATTGTCGTTGATGTTTTTTTACTGATGCTTTGCTAGTCACCCTAGCGCTGGCTGCAATGTGGTTGATGGTACCTTAGTTTACCTTAGTAGGTTTGACCTGAAGCACATTCTTTGATCAACAAGCACATGCATGTGTCATCCACACGCAAATCCCCTTACCGGTACACATGAACAGCTGTAGACACCTGGCACACAATTTTCCATCTCAATACCAGAATGCACAGCTTTGCTTTCTCTAACCATACACTCAGATGGTGCAAGCAACAACGCAGGGGACAATACCGTATGTACTAACGTGATACTTTTTGCAATGCTATGCAGGGTCCGCGTACACGGCATCATAGCTCTGTTCTGTGGTCCTTACTAGTAACCCCGCCTGCATTAGGCAGGGTGAATACTTATTCTAGTTAACTAGTGGTAACTGTGCAACCGCAGGGAGTCCCAATTGTGCATGGCTGTGCAACGGCTGCCTGCCACGAGGCCGCAGCCTGCAGCCCCTTGTACCGACGACCTGGCCGGAGGAGCAGCTCCCTCCCTTGTGATCATGCCATCGCTACACAGGATTCACATAGCCCAGTGCAGCCACTTGTAGACTCGGCTTTAAAGAGCAGCTCTGCTCTCTCGACCAATGCCATGCCATCATCACTATGTATGCCATTACGCGTGGTGTGCACTTTGCGCAGCACACGCAGCACTTGTGAGCGGCTCTGCCTTGTGTAACTCTCCAACCAGCACCATTGCTGCAGGATGCCGCATGGAAGGGCCAGCCAACTTGAGCAGCACCACAGATGCAAAAGACCAGGCCAGCGCAGCCACCTGTACATCGGAGTAGCTCCCTCCGGATAGCGTGCTGTTCTCCGAGGCTGACGTGCGCACCACACCCGCCTGACCCGCGTCAAACCCTGCAGCCAGCAGTACTGATGCAGCGCTATGCTAAGACCCCTAAATTCAATGCTAAGCACTCCGTTGTAAAATGCACCATCCCTGCAAGCAGCACATCCCTACGCGGGGTCCACATTCCGCAGCACCACAGAAGTCATGGAGCTGCCCAGCGCCGCCACCTGTATCGAAGCTGGCACGTCTGTGTAACTTTGAGTCGCCACCAGCGTGTTATTTTCCGTCGCTGACGTGCGATACGTCTCCAACACACACTCCTGCCCCGCGTCAAACGGCACGAAATCCTCGAGTGGAAATGTCGCTGTGTGTGTTGTGTCGCGCTGGTTGACGATGAAAATCGACACAAAGTGCTGGTCGGGGTGGAAGAAGGCCGCGATGCAGTGCTGGCACCCGTCCGACGTGTCTATCCGGAGAGGCAGGCTCCCCCGCGGCGCCCCGCGAACAAACTGCTGCAGCATGTACAGCTTCTTGGAGATCACCAGATCCAACGGCTTAACTTCCGTGTCGTTCAGCCGGTAAATCCTGACCGCCAAAAGCCCCCATTTCAGAAACGCGTCTGGGTTGTTCCCTCCCACCCCACTCACAGCCTGCCAGAAAATCCAGGCCGAAGCCCCCATGATGTTGACAGTCTCCACGATCTGCCGCGCCGTGAACAGCATCACACCGACATCATTCCCGGTCACCCACATCGGCCCCACCTCCGACACCCACACCTCCTTCCCCAGCCCGGTCGCCATGCGGTGCATGCCCACCATCACGCCTTCCATGTACCGCCGCGTATCCGTCCCGTTTGGCGGCGGGTTTATGTACCCATGCACGTTCAGCCGAAACAGGCCGGCCTTCACCGCAGCAGGGAACTTGTAGGTGTATCGGAGCGTCGCGCCGACGAAACTGTCAAATCCCGCGACTTTCGTCGGCAGCTTGCGTCTCTTTAAGGTCGCTGTGAGGAGCTGGATAAGAGTGGCCAGTTTCTCAGGGCCGTAGTTGCACCCCTCATTCTTGTGGCCCTGCGTCCACCACCCCTCCAGCGCCTCATTCCCTGGATTCATGGTCGAGAAGGTGATGTTCCAGTGCGTGCGGTAGTGCTCGATCACCGATGCTTGATACTCCGTGTACGCCTGGAGATACTCGGGCTTTAAGTTGCACTTGCCCGTTTCAGTCCCGGCTGTGTCCCCGCTAATGGTCATCCACCAGGGCGGCGAATACGAAACCGCCTCCACCTCGTCCACATTCCGCGCCAGGGCGGCGAGCATCGTCCGCCTCTGCCGCCCGTCCGCCGTCCAGTCGTACGGCCCGTTTGGCTGGACGCGGAAGCCGGGGATAGAGCGGGTTTCCCATGCGGCAGTGAGGAACTGGGGGCTGTTGGTGTAGTTGACGCTGCCGCCTATGAGGTAGCGCGCGAGGTTGAGCCCGATGCCCTTGTCCTTGTCAAAGAGTAAATCCATTATGAGATCAAACTGCTCGTCCGGCAGCTTGCCCACGTAGTTGGCGAACCTTGAGGGGGCGAAGGGCAAGGGGCAAGGGGTAAGCGGTATTGATGCATGGGAGGTGGGAGAGTGTGCGTGCACACGAGACATGGGACATGGGACACGAGACATCGGACATGAGACATGAGACAAGGGACATGAGACACGAGACATGGGACATGGGACACGAGACATCGGACATGAGACATGAGACATGGAACCATGCCAGCTAAGCAGGTAACCATGCCAGCTAGGCGACTCACCATGCCAGCTCAGCAACTCACCATACCAGATCAGCAACTCACCATGTCAGATCAGCAACTCACCATGCCAGCGAAGTGCCCCAGCCTCGCCACGTCTGTCCGTTCCAGTCAGGGGCGATGGTGATGGTGGAGGTGGCTGTGCGGCAACGAAAGGGAATGAGAGAAGAAAGAGGTGAAGGGGAGGAGACGGAAAGAAGACGTCGGGAAGGAAAGGAGAGAAGACATTGAGCCAGCCAACGGGACTCAAGGCACAGCGGGGGCACAGCGAGGGCACAGCGAGGGCACAGCGGGGGCACAGCGGGGAGGGCACAGCGAGGGCACAGCGAGGGCACAGCGAGGGCACAGCGGGGGCACAGCGGGGGCACAGCGGGGGCACAGCGAGGGCACAGCGAGGGCACAGCGGGGGCACAGCGAGGGCACAGCGAGGGCACAGCGGGGGCACAGCGGGGAGGGCACAGCGAGGGCACAGCGAGGGCACAGCGAGGGCACAGCGGGGGCACAGCGGGGGCACAGCGGGGGCACAGCGAGGGCACAGCGAGGGCACAGCGGGGGCACAGCGAGGGCACAGCGGGGGCACAGCGGGGGCACAGCGAGGGCACAGCGAGGGCACAGCGAGGGCACAGCGAGGGCACAGCGAGGGCACAGCGAGGGCATGACGAAGATGGTCTAACACTAACTGCGATGCTGGCTATAATGAGAACATCATTTGCTGCCACCTGCTCTGGCTCAACACTTACAGCGTTTTCTCTCCTGCTCATCCACCCACCTCGACTCTAAAACGCGGATACCTCCCTCCCAGACCTGCACGCGCGTATGATCGCATCATCATGCGATCAATTGCGGAGCATTGCCATGATCATTGCCCCCCCCCCTCCCATTGCCGCCCTCATTGCCCCCATCGCCCCGCCCTTGCCCTCATTCCCCCTCCGTTGCCCACATAGACCCTCCGCCGCCCCTATTGACCCCCCGTTGGCCGCAGCCCTAATCCAATGGGAGTATCTCCCCCCTTCACAGGGTCCTCCTGTTCTTTGAAGGACGTCACAACTCTATATCGCGGATATCTCACCTCCGGACCGGCACACGCCAATAATTTCATTGTCGGGTGTCAGCCGCGCCTCGTTCCCCGCGGGCGGAGTGCTCCCCCCATCCCCGTCGCCTGGCCGGTCGTCGGGAGGGGAAGGGGGAGGCGCGGAAGCCTGCGCGATCACTGCGCCTGCGGAAGTCAGGCTTTGCGTGGTAGCTTGGCGGTGCGCGGAGGAGGAGGCGGCGGAAGTCACGCGCGCGGAAGTTCCGCCTTGCGCCGTCATGCGCGGCCGCCAGCATCCCTGTCGCGCCGGCCACAGCAGCATCCACTCTACGTCGCACTCGCCCTCGTCGGCGCCGCTGGCGGCGGCGGAAGCCGCCAGGGAGCGCCCGCGCGCGGCTGACTCCGGCGCCCGCCCATCCGCAGACTGCGAAAAAACTTCCGCCACTTCTACGGGCCGCCCCGACTTCCGCCCGAAAACGTGGCGCTGACGCGGCGACTGCACTGCTTCATGAGTAAAGGAGAGGATCAACGGCGGGTGCCACGCGCGGGGCAGCAGAGTGTAGACGCTGGTACTGTTCGCATCGCGGTTCCTGGTCACGGGCGGAACTGAGGCAGGTGGCAACTGCGCGCCGATGGCAGCGGCGCGGGTGGCTGAGCAAGGCGAGTGGGGAGAGGACGAGGAAGCTATGAGGAGGAGGAGTATTACTAGGAGCGGGAGCGACGGGCTAACAGACCTAATAGCGACCATCTTTTTAGCGGCAGAGTAGTTCAATTTGTTACTAATCTGTTACTAAGCCGAAGGGCTTCGCCGAGAACACTCTTCTGTTAGTAAGCTCTCGTGTCGCGCGGTACAAACATCTGTAGGCTGACATTGGACGACGTCGTACAGATAGAATGAATGGTCCAATCATGTTACATTGGTTACTAACATGATTGAAGTCGGTCCCGTCCCGACCCAAACAGGTTACTACGGTCTGCAAGCCCTTTGGACGACGAAGCACGGCGGGGAGTGGCGCGGCGCGGCGCACTGTCTCTCTTATTTCGTTTCGGAGCATGTTTTGCCGCGTCTGCAAAAACCTGCGTTTCCTTGTGTGCCGTGCCACACGCCATCGACCGCCGCTGCTAGGGTTTGCGATGGCCAACCCGCCTGAACAGCGCTACACGTAGTACAGTATCGTGATGCCGATGAATACAGCCGGGAATATAGGCACGCGCTTTCACGAAACACCTTCCAGCTAGGAGATTGGACAGGAAGCAACTGACTAGGGTCGTGTCGTGTGTGCCTGGGATGCATGGACAAGGAAAAGTGCACGGATTACTCCAGCGTGGCAAAGTTTTCCCTCATGATTTGACGAACACATGTTCGATTCGGGCGGACCTCGTTGTCAGGTCAGGTCATCCAAACGTGTATGCGTCGAATCGCTTGGGAAGGACGACAGTTGGGATGGGAACGAGGGCGGGAGGGAGGGAGAGATTGATTGTATGTCGGTTTCGGTTATCCCCAATATTGATTGAAGAGAGATTGGACGAGTGGATGGATTGGTTGTTTTTTCCTTAAGTTGTTCTTTGCGTAGGGTGCTCGATCAGCATTATTACGGGTGCAATGAATCGAGGTAGCGAGGATTGCACTGTGTGTCAAACGAGTACAAAATGTGAGCGAAGGCATGAGCGAACATTTATACGCGAAACATGCAAACGGTAATGCGGTGCGTGCGAGCTAGCTAGTGCTAGGCTTGCATCGAGGCTCGGGCTAGTCTCGGGCGAACAACGGTTGTTGCTGTACGCGCTGTTGCGGGATGCGCTAAGGAATGTCGAGAAAATTTCTTACAAATCCCCCCCCCCCCCTCAAGAAGCCCCCTCCGCTACGCGAGTGCGTGTATATCGTAGAAACCCCGGCTCCTCAGGTACACTTCCAGGGCCGGGTGGTTTTCGATGGTGGCCAGGGGCACCCAGCTATCCTCAGTTGGCGAGCGGTCCTTCCAGCGAACGAGGAACTCGATCCTCCTGCTTCCCGTAGGGTGGCGAATCCGATGGCTCAGAATCTTTTCGGGCTCGATGATCGGCTCCGATGCAGGGCGAGTCATGGATGGCGGGCGGTGACGAGGCAGTTGGCTTGTGGTTGGGATGTAGGGGCGAAGCAGGCTGACGTGGAATGATGGGCTGATGTACCAGTCTGTCGGCAGTAGTAAGTGAGTGGTCACTGGGGTGATCATGTGGCTGATTTGGAAGGGTCCGCAGTAGCGCGGTCGTAATTTTGGTACGTGATTGGGCGGCGGTGGCGGTCAGCGTTGCGTTTTGCGATGCCATTGACTTTTTATTGCTTCGGCGGCTCTGGTATAGAGCCTGCTGCTCTAGGTGCTGGTGAGGCTGCTGCTCTAGGGGCTAGTGTGTCTCCTGCTCTAGGTACGGGTGAGGCTGCTGCTCCAGGTGCTGGTGAGTCTGCTCTCTCTGGTACTGCGCCTGCTCAGGCCTTGTACACCTTCACACTTGACTCTGGTGCTTCTCGCTGCTTCTTTCGCGACAGCACCTCCCTCACGCCGCTCAGTCGGTCGGTTCCAGTCTCTCTGGCAGATCCCTCTGGGGGTCCCGTCCGTGCGACCTCTTCCACTGTCCTCCCTTGTCCTGCTATCCCGTCCGGCACACTGTCGGGTCTTCACCTCCCCTCGTTCTCTACGAACTTGGTGGCGGGTTCTGCGCTCCAGGACGCGGGTGTTCACCAGTTCACCCCTGCCTACGAGCGTGTGACACACTGCACGTGTGCTCAGACGGGTCGTCACCTGGCTACCTTCACTCGGCAGCCGTGGTCGAGCCTGTACACACTGACCAGTGAGTCCCCTCAGGTAGCTGCGTCTGCGTCTGCGTCAGGTCAGTTGTCGGCCCCCTGCTCGTGTCGCGCCTTGTCGCACCAGACCCTCCTTTGGCACCACCGCCTTGGTCACCCCTCGGTGCAGCGCCTTCACAGCATGCACCGCCATGTCCTTGTCTCTGGTCTTCCCAGGGTTCTCCCTCCCCTCCCACCCTCGCCTGCTCCTCCCTGTCTTCCCTGTGTCGAGGGGCGGCAGCGCGCCGCTCCTCACTCCTCCTCGTTCCCTCCCACAGAGGCTCCCCTGCAGACTCTCCACCTGGACGTGTGGGGCCCAGCCCGCGTCCGTGGACAGGGCCACGAGAGGTACTTCCTGCTGGTCGTCGACGACTACACGCGTTACACCACGGTCTTCCCCTTGCGCACCAAGGGTGAGGTCCCTGATGTTTTGATCCCCTGGATCCACGCTGCTCGTCTCCAGCTCCGCGAGCGGTTCGGGACGGAGTTTCCCGTCCTGCGTCTGCACTCTGACAGAGGTGGTGAGTTTTCCTCCGACCTCTTGGCAGCCTTCTGTGAGGAGCATGGCATCACCCAGTCGTTCACGCTTCTGGCCTCTCCGCAGCAGAATGGGGTTGCTGAGCGCCGCATTGGCTTAGTGACAACTGTGGCTAGCAGACGCGTGACAGTAGAGTGAGCAGCACGGGTGCGGTCAGACTCAGGCTCAGGAACGGTAGGCAGAGAAGACACAGGAGGGGACGGCAGGGGGACACGCTGCGGCAGTAGTAAGTGAGTGGTCACTGGGGTGATCATGTGGCTGATTTGGAAGGGTCCGCAGTAGCACGGTCGTAATTTTGGTACGTGATTGGGCGGCGGTGGCGGTCAGCGTTGCGTTTTGCGATGCCATTGACTTTTTATTGCTTCGGCGGCTCTGGTGCGAGCAGCTTGCAGTATATCGTCGAATTGCTGTGCACGTGGCGTTGGGTTGTCCGGACTCGGCGTCATGGGTACTGTAGGGTTTTGCCCATAGTTCAGGTAGAACGGGGACTGCTGCGTCGTTGCTGACGTGGCGTTGTTGTAGGCGAACTCGATCAGCGGCAGCTGCTGCTCCCAAGTTGTCGGGTCGTCACACGTGGCCCGAATCAACTGTTCCATCCTCTGATTGGTCCGCTCCGTTTGACCGTCGGTCTCGAGGTGGTACGACGAGCTGAACTGTAGCCTGGTCCCGAACTGCTCCCAAAGGTTCTTCCAGAAGTTGCTGGTGAACTTCGTGTCGCGGTCGCTGATTATCGCGGCTGGTATCCCGTACAGTCTAAGGACGGCTGCGATGAACAGGCGAGCAGTTTCTTCGGCTGAGATCGATTTCTTGCACGCAGCGAAGTGTGCCATCTTCGTCAACCTGCCAATGACGACCATAACCGCGTCGTAACCCCCAGGGTTCGAAGGTAACCCTGTGACGAAATCCATGGTAACCTGTTGCCAGGCGCGCTCGGGCGGTGGAATCGGCTGCAATTGACCCGCCTTTCTTTTCTGCGAGCTCTTCATCACCTCACACGTAGGACACGAGCCCACGTGGTGCTGTACGACTGTCAACAGCTCCGGCCAGTAGTAATACCGCTGCAGTTGCTGTCGCGTTTTTTCTACCCCAAAATGTCCCGAGGTAATCCCGTCGTGTGCCTCCTGCAGTAACAGTTCCCTCAGTACTGAGTACGCGGGTACCCAGATGCGATTGGTGCCTGTTTTTACGTAATAGACTCCTTTAGCTTTTGCTAGTTGCTGTGAATTTCCGGTCGTGAAAAATGGGTCGGTATTGTATCTGTGGGTGAATAGGCCTGTTAACACTGGGTTGGTTTGGGCGAGTAGGATTGCGTGGAGTTGGGCGGTAGGGCGTGTGAGTGCGGCGGCGATATTCGATGCGCCATTTTTGTACGTGACTGTGTAGTGGAAGTTGGACTCCACATAGTCCAACCAGCGGATCCGTGTCGGGTGAGGTTCGGTTGGGCGCGAAGGTACTGTAGTGATCGCTGGTCTGTCCGTACTGTCACGTCTGCTCCCGTGAGGTAACATCGCCACACCTTGAACGCGTGCACGATCGCCAGCATCTCGCGGTCGTGTATCGGGTAGTTGCGTTCGGGCGGGTGAAGCTTGCGGGACTCGTACGCGAGGCCGTTCCAAAAACCCTGCAACAATACTGCTCCCACGGCGATGTCGCTAGCGTCGGTGATGAGCTCGAACGGACGGTGCGGATCCGCGATGTGAAGCACGAGCGGCGAGCACAAAATTTGTTTGAGGGCCGAGAAGGCTGCTTGCTCTTTCACCCCCCACGTGTACTCAACCCCCTTCCTCAGCAGGTCGATCAACGGAGCAGTCAACTTCGCCATGTCGGGGACGAACCGGCGCACGTAGTTGATGTTAGAATCTAGCAGCAGGAATGGATGCACTATGGAAGAGTTGGGTACAAGTATGAAACCCTAAACGGGGCTGTACCCCATATTGGCTACCCCACTACAGCCTACACACATATAACATGCATATACTTTGACACACCCCCATAGGCAAAGTGAGGGAGAACAAGGGGTCAACAGACCAGTCAAGACAAGCAAAACAAGCTCAGGGTATATATGCAACAACGGCAGTACAGTGATCTAGCAGAGCAAGCATGCAGGTATATATATAGATCACAGTACAGGCAAAGCCTAGAGCAAGTGAGAAAACGTGGGCACAAGGCCTAACAAAGACGAAAGTGCCTTGGTGAATATATCAGCAGTATTGGCCCGAGTGGCCATGTGAGCAAGGCGAAGCTGACCACGCTGCTGCAACTCTCGAGCAAGGAAGTAACGCAGAGCGATGTGCTTCAATCTGTGCTCCAGTCTGTGCTCCTGACACAAGGCAATGGCGGCCTTGTTGTCGACGCACAGCACTGGAGGAGAACGAGGCCGCTCTCCCAA